AGGTGATCTCAAACTGGAAGGGGTTGTAGAAGGGGGAGGGGTTATCCAGTACCACTACATTGTTCACCTGGACCTTGGCCATATTTTGGGAACGCACAAACAATGGGGACGGTGTGCCGGAGCAGACAAGCCTCCAGCAGTGCTGTCCTCTCTGCAGAGCCCTTGTCACTGCTTCCTGCAGCACATCCACACGAGGCTCGGCAAACTTTCCTCCAGCCTGCAGCTTTCTTCATATCTCTTCCATTGATGCTCTACAACCGGGTGGCTACTCCACTCTGCGTGTTGTGCGAGTTTATTCCCCTTCTGCCTTCCTAGCTCACTTCACTACAGCACATTCTGCTCTGTTGCTGGAGCAGCGTGTGTCCGTATTGGCTGCTCCCGAGCCCTCCCCTAATGAAGGGAAGACATAGACGGCCGCAAATGTTTAGCTGCTGCGCCCCCTGCTGGCTGAGCGGCGCCATCGTGACTCGGGAGGATCTTCCACCTGACCTCACACGCCTAGTGTGCATGGCCGAGCAGTGGCAAGGTGGACGTGGTAGAAGGTCGGCAGCTATTGAATTTTTTTCTGCCATTGATGTGCCACACTATCCGGTGAGGGCAGTCGCACTGCGGGAGGGGGAAGGGGCTGTGTTACCATTGACTTCAATGCACCGCCACGCCCCAGAATGCAGTGAGCCAGCCAGGATGCTTTCTGGCACCGAATCGTGTCGGAAACGCACTGGGGCTGGTGTGAACTAGCCCTTTGTGTTTCTAATTGGAGCCTGGATGCACAGAATTCTATTTTGTCTTGCCACTGCTAAACTGAATGCAGGTAAACACACAATGTGAATAAGACCATTTCAAATCATTGCATGTATTTAAATGCATTTAAAATGTCCTAACCACGTATAAATGCATGTGTGTCAATGCTAGTGTGAGTGAGGCGTTACCACCTTTTTATCTCCACCTTTTATCTAGTTCAGTGTAAGGCCTCAGTAACACTGACATTGACACACGTTGAAATGTGTTTGTGTTTAGAGGACATTTCTAAAGGCATATAAATGCATTTAATGATTTTAAGTAGTATTCAGACTGGATGTTTGCCTGTGTTTAGGTGCGTTCAGTTTAGCTGTGTTTGGAGAAAATAGCATTCTGTATGTCCAGGGGCAGATACTCTGAATGCGTCTAGATGCATGTAAACACATATACATATACAGGTACATATACATAGAAGTTCTGGGAAGCATAACATTTTTTTAGATCATTTTCCTTTGGTTTTACTGAAGCACACACAGGAAGCTTGTGTGAATGTAGCCTCACAATTCTTGGTTCTGCTTTGGGCATACAATAATTTATTTGGAAACACTTTAAATATAGTTGGATGCCAGTCAGCCCTGGCTTCTTGTATAGCTTGGGACAGATTTCCCTGCCCACATTTCCTGTCTACCTGGGAATTTGTGTCCCTGTGTTCCCTGTAATATGAAATAAATCCAGCAAGGTTAGTGCAAACCCCTCATAATGGCTACTACAGAAATGCAGACCCAGGAACTCAAGCCCACAGATCTTCCCCATAGAGTGCTGAAGAATTGCAAGGACTTGTCAGGTGGTATAGCTCTCCTGCATCTGCCAAACACTGAAATATCACTTATGGGTAGGCTTACATATAGTGAGTTTAATTAGATGTTGTGTGAAAAATAAGTTCCAGGTTGTTTTAGTTGTAGGATCTGTTTACAGGCAGTGCCATGTGACTCTTAACTCTTTGTTTTTAACATCTCATAACAGCCACCACACCCAAATATTGTTTAAGATCTTGCTAGGAGTTGCCACCTAATGCATGCCCTGACATGATAATCACCCATCCCATTGTACACAGCAGTTTTATATGAAAACCAAGAATTCCTGTATGTATGGTCATTTGGGCAGTGATTGTCGCCATTAAAGAATCAGAAACATTTGCAAGCTTTTTCCTTTTAAAAACTCGTTTTACATTCTCAATGGAGAGGTATTGGCAGAGTAAAATATACTTTTCCCAATACTTAGACCCGGTATGGGACACTGTAGCTGGCACACACCAGCTCTGTAGATCGAGAGCTGAGCAATCATTTAAGCGCTGATTGCTCAGCTCATGGTCTTCTCCCTGCAGAGAACAATGACTGTCCAGTTACTGTTCCCCACAGGCTGTTGGCTGAACAGTGACTGTAGACACTTTTCTACCCGATTGCTTTTACAAAAGTTGATAAAAAAAATTGACATTTGCTGAGCCAGGTGGTGTCGGCATGGTCACTCACCAATATAATTTCAGATGATTCAGCAGGAAATGACCGCAATTCAATGCACGCTGGTCAGCTTTATGAAGTCTCACTCTCATGTTGCAGTTTATAGGCAGCCAGGTTGTTGCGGTCTCATAGCTAGTGGCTGCAGACTAGGGATGAGTTTAGGTTCTGACCAAACCTTGTCTCAACCTGAACTCCCCTGGAGAAGGCAGTGCCATGGGAACTTCCACCCAAGCAGCTACAGGCTGGCCATTCCCTGCCATGCAGCGGGCTTGTGCTGACATAATATACGTTATATAGCCACATGGCCATATTGGGTCAATGTCCTTTACTAAATAATTCCCTGTCCACAGTTGATTCGGGAAGAGCTTCTTCCGGGTTTGGAGGCGCTTAGGCTCAGTCCGAGCCTGAGCTCATCCTTACTGCAGACCAGTAAATAAATTGGCCTTCGTTTCTTCTCTGATTCAGAGTATGAGAGCACCTGCAACTATATTGATTTTGTAAGCACAGCAGCAAGTACAAATAATGAAAGCTAGAGGGCCCATTTGCATCACAACACTGTGATGCAACACAAATTGCTGTGCATTAAACAGCCCATTCAAAATGAGTACAGGCTGGAAAACATAGCATTGCATGTCAAAATGAGGCTGACTGCATTGGGCCCCATTCAAACTAGGGCGGTTGCGGAAAGGCGTGGACTCATGAAGGGTCCCCATAGCAATGTATGGGATCGTTCATGTCGGTGGATCCGTGTGGCCGAACCGCCCCGGTGTGAACGGGGCCTTAGTCAAAATACCTATAGGCGAATAGTGGAGAGTCCATGGAGTCCCCATGTCCTGCAATTAAAAATAGCTTAACAGTAAAATGACATACACTAAACATTGGGCAGGACTTTCATGAACACCTGGCACAAAAGAAACAAGGTTTAACACTGGATTACTGTACATATCTGGAAGAAATACACAAAGCACACCAAGATTTAACATTTTTTAGATAATATTTGCTTATCTCAGAATTCAGCTTCAACTGTCTGCTAATTCTATCTACACCCACATGTTGGAGGCATTACTATAAAGGCTTCAGCATGGACACAGTTCTGTGAAATACATGTTCTGTTCCCATTATCCTCCTCTTCCTTCTTCTTCCTTTTTTTTTTTT